TGTTTTCACAAGGGTGTGAATGTTCAGCAGATATGTGATGTTGTGGTCCTTCATTATGAGCATATGAGAATCTTCATGTGTTTTCATCTGGTGCGAAAGTGATTATATTCAGAAGGAGCATTGATTATCCATGACAGGGGGAGTAAAGTACTTGTCTATGGATTATTGTTGCAATGTTGCAGATATTTTGTTGGCTTACATGTTGATCAAGCTTGTGGAGATTGTATGCCTCTTATGAGGATGTGATGTCAGACAAATTATTGTGATATAATATGTTGATTGGTGATCTTGAAAGGCCATGTTTGATTGAATCAGAAGTACACATATCTCTCTAGTGATCAATAGTTGTGTCTGGGAGAATTCATTGTTTTTCCTGCAGTTTTTGGAAGGATTCTCTGAAGGTCTTTGTTGTTGAGAGATGTCACATATGTGATATTCTGGTGTTTTGGTGCGTGTCACTAAGTTTAAGTGAAATGAGTACACTTAGAGTCCAGTTGAAGGCATTATGTTTATGCTTCATAACATATGTGGATAATTTTGTGAAGCATTTTTGGACTGATGGTTGAAGATGTGTTGGTCAAGGGTTTATGTATTCAAGAGAAAGAAGACAATATTTGACTGGATGTCAGGACATTATTTAGAACATGTTTCTTGTGTGATCAACAAAGGAGTTTTATGGACGGTGTGATCAAACACGTTTAGAAGGAAGTGTATAAAGTATGTTTGACTATGCATGTGCATGTATTTGGACTATTTCTTTTTTAACAGAAACAATCCAGAGCTAATAAAGTCATTCAAAGCTATTTTGGACGGTGCACATAGATTTTGGTGGCAGTTTCTCCTCAAATAATGTTTCCTTTTGACCAAGACCATTGCTACAATCAATTATCGTTATTTCCCAAGAAAATACTTAGCTATTTATAGATGTTACTCATTTCCTCTTTCATCCTATGAGAGTTCTGAGTTTTCACAGTCATGATGGGTTTTATTCGGGTTTGGACAAGTTGTGCTTGGGTTTGATTTTGTGAAGGCTTCCTTTGCCAAGTTTTGGCTAAAAAGGGGGAGAAAGGTGCTCAATATGCTCGGTTGTTTAATCTGGAGGCTTCTTTTCCAGATGTGTCACAAAGATGTTGGAGAGGATGCTTCATCTTATATGTATATTTTGTGACTTGTTTTCTGAGTTATGAACATAACTATGACCTATATTCTGAGTTACTAAGGGTGGTGGTTGATTTGCCCAGGTTGACTGGTAGTTGTTGATGAAGGTCTGATAAAGGATTCTCTTATGCCACCATTGGTCTTTTAAGATCCATCCTGGTTTGATGAGGGGTGATAATATCTTCTTCCTCATGTACACCAACTTACTTCAGGACTTTCTACTCCTTTATCCTGAGGTTGCTTGTTCGTTGGTGTTGAGTTTATGTGCTGCAATGGAGCTGCTATGAAGACGATGTCAAATATGATGTCCTAACATCATTGTGCTGGTGAAGACTAACTCCATATTGTTATGTTGTTGTGTTCAGTATTTACTGAAGAATACTGCTGAATATTTGTAATTTGTGTTTATTACTGTAATCTGGGATGTAATATATGTTATATGTTTTAGCCAAAAAAATTTATTAGAGACAAGCAAATAAATAGGGAAGAGAGAAGCACAAAAAATCGAAACAAAAAAATAAATACACAAGCAAATAAAAGACTTAAGTTATACTTAGTAATTGAGACCTATGCGAGACGAGAAAATCAGGAAAGCCTAGATGGAGAAGAACGACGTCTGCATAAGCGAAACGGAGAAATCCTAAAAAGGGAAGAGAGAAACACAATAAATTTTTTTCATATATATATATATATATATATATATATATATATATATATATATATATATATATATATATATATATATATATATATATATATATATATATATATATATATATATATATATATAAACTTCTATGTAAAAAAAGATGAGTTTAGTTGAATTTTTGTTGATCTTATACTTTTTTTAACAATAGAAAATTGGTGAGTCTTTAATAAGAAAATGTAAATATTATTTTTATTAAACATTATAAAAATAATACCAAGAAATGTTTAAAAATATAAATATTTAGTTAGCAAAATATGATAATGAATATAAAACAAAAGAATCTAATTTAAAGAAATCTTCATATTTTCCGTTGTGATATAATAAAATAAATGTAATGCTGTATTGTTAGATTGAAAAAATAAAATAAATGTAATGCTCTATTGTTAGATTGAAAAAATAAAATAAATGTAATACTGTATTATTAGATTATTGAGGTTTTAATGGAGATAGAAATTTGGAATCAAGAAAAAGTGTTGCAGTAGTTGTGAATTTAGGGAGGTTGTGATAATGGCAATAATAATATGGTTTGGGGAGAGAAGACGAGTAAGGCATGGTTGACACCCACATGTTTCAGTTCTGAGGTTGCAGCAGATAAGAATAAGGAAGAGTTACAGGAAAAAAACGATTTGTTGACAGTGGGATTTGAACCCACGCCCTTTCGGACCAGAACCTTAATCTGGCGCCTTAGACCAACTCGGCCATATCAACTTGTTGTCTATTTTCGCACTACAAAGTTATTCCAACGTAACGTATATTAATGCAAGTATGTATTTCAAAAAGCATAGCAAATAAATACCTCTACACGTACGTTACTTACTCAACCCAAATTAAAATCAATTCTAACACTAACATTTTTAAATTACTATTTCTAACTTACAGATTCCACTCATGTCTAGCTATTTTTATTGTCTTTCTAGATTCATGCGTAAAAAAATATAATTCTATTCACTATTTTTTATTTTTCATGTACAAATATCTCAAAACAAAAATAAAGCTTCAATAATTAATATGAATACAAACAAAAATATATCATTCACATCAAACTAATATATATATCAAACCAATCAATTATATAAATTAAAATCTTGTTATATGGAAAAATTAATTCTAGAACTAAATAAAATATTTTTATTATATATTACTATTAGTAATTTATGAACACAACTTATAAATATATAATATTAAATCTAATAAACTTATAAAATTTAGTTTAAATTTGAATTTTAAAATTCAGACGCACTTAATACACAACACATCAAAGTTAGATATTAAAAAATTCTAGAGATTAAAATCTATATACTAAATTATGAAGATTGAATTTCGAACACGCCAACACATTACATTCATGATCAACCTCAAGATTACACAATTTAAAACTAATTGAGAGATTGAAATTCGAACGAATTTGTTTAAGTAAACTCGTGTGTTTTCATCTCCCTTTCCTTTTTCATTTATGTAAAAGAGTAAGAATAGATAAACAAATAGCTAGATCCTCATTTGCGTTTATAGAGTTTTGTTCATCATTTTTCAAGTCTTCTCATAGTTTTTATCTATTGCATTGAAACTTATCACGTCTCTATTCTCCTGTATTGCACTTATCTAAAGTTCCTCTCCATTTATATTGGTAAGTTGTCCATTCTCTTTCCTTTTTTAATTCCACATGCATGTATTACCTAAATAGTTTTTCTTAAATTGTCTTGTATTGAATTTTTTAGCAATAGAGCTTAGGATTCGCATGCTATGCCTATTCTCTGGTTCACAGTGTGGCTATTAGGAGAGAGATCATAGTTAGGGGTGAGTTTGTGAAAGGCATTCCTTAAATGACCACTTCACATATCATCTTAACATAGGCACAATATATATTGTAGTACTGACGGTAGAAGAGAAATAGAACCTCATATATACGCATACGCAGTAGTGAGATTTTATTGTCTATTTTAACGTGTATTATGGTTTGTATTTAAATTAGGGATGACAATGAATACCCATGAACACGGGTATTAGTCTTCCGCTACTCGCTCCGTTTAATAAATATGATATTTATATCCGCCCCCTACCCATGCGGGTTTCCGTTAGATAGATATTCGTAAATTTTAAAATACCCACAAATATTTACGGATATCTATGAATACTATTATTTAAATATTTTAAAAATATATATATTTAAATAACTAATTTTTTATCTCTTTTAAAGACAAAAATTATTTTCAAATTTAACACATGATAAATAATAACAAAAATAAATTACATTCATTTTATTTATTCTTTTATAATAATAATAATAATAATAATAATAATAATAATAATAATAATAATAATAATATATTTAACAAAATAATAATAATAATAATAATAATAATAATAATAATAATAATAATAATAGTAATAATAATTTTTTATCAAACAAAATAATATTTAAATATTTTTTAAAAGTTTATTATAAAATGTCAAAAACAAATTAAATTACTTTCAAACAGGAAAAAATATTGTTGTGAGATTATTTAGAGATTGAAATCCAAACATATAATACGGAAATTGAAATCTGAACCAGTTTTTGAAAAAAAGTTGGTGTTTTGATGTTTCCACAAGGCATGTGATAAGTGTAGTGATTTTGTTTCTTCACTTAGAAATTAATAAATGAATCCAGTTAAACTCAGTTAAGAATGTACTGCTAACCATTTCTGAAGTTAAATATATCGGATTACAATATTACTCATGCAATGGTGACTAAACTGAGAAATTGTTTTCAGAAATAAAAACTAATACATGTTTCATAGATTGATCTTTCGTACAGGAACAAAGATAAAGTGACACTTTTACAACATACAATATCTTACAGGAATTCAGTCACACATTAACTGATCAACCGAGCTTAATTTACAACAAAAACCTCATCAACCATAATATATAGTATGTACATTAGCAATAAGCAAAACCTACAAATTCAAATTGATATTGGCTGTTACATGAAGCTTAATTGCCAACACAAATTATACATAAACATGTGCCATGTTACATTAACTTTTATTTTTATTTTCCACACTTCAAAAAAACAATGCACAACAGCATGGCCTTCATTGCAAAGAGAAAAAATATAAACAACCAAAACATGATTGTGCAAAATTTCATACTACTATCTTGCATAACCACCATCTTCTGCCTTTAAGAAGTTGCCAACTTGCTCTAGTGCCTGTAAGATACAGAAGAATATACTAGTTATGCATCAGATATAAAAGAATTTAGATTAAACTTTCGCATCCGGGAACATTTCTGGTCGCACAGAACTAACAAACTGAAACGAAGTTACAAAAGCATGGAGCAGAAATTGTTCAAGACCTCAATTGCAATAGCTCTTGGAGACAAATCAGATGCATCTCTTCGGCCCAGTTTTGCTGCTATATCTGCGCATAACAACAACAGAGCATTAAAAATTGCACTTTAATTATTATCATCAAGGTAGCATACACTACAACATGAAGAAATAATGTGTTTAAGTTTCACCAGAGATTATAAAGCAACAAGACCACTCTTTTTAATTAGAGGAGGATTTATACAGTTACGTGTGTTTTAAACTTTTTATTTTGGGTAATCCTGAAATACTAATTAATTAAGAACACTAATACAAAAAAAAAAAAGCAACAGACATCACACCACGAGATCGTAAATACATGCAAAGCGTCTTCCTGTTCTTCCTACAGAATCTGGACAGTCTTACAATTTTAATTTCAATACAGAAAAGAAGAGACATACTTTCTAATGAGACTCTGGCATTAGCATTGGCATAGAATTCACCTCTTTCTTCAAAGAGAGAAGACAAGCGCATCAGTGCCTGCATATGAATAACAAATAGTCAAATTATTGAGGCAAAATATTTTGTATGCACGTTCGGTGACCTAAATTAGGGATACTCAATATATTATGCTTTGCCACACGCACGAAAAATAAAAATCCTCTGGATGCGAAACAATTTACCGCTGTGTATGCATCCCCTGCTTCATCATGTAGAAGAGGGCGAGAATTAGTTCCCACGGCTGCAATTCTTTTAGCCAATGCATCCACGGGTACGTCCAACCAAACACTGACACCCTTGTGCATATATTTCCTGGTAATCCATTCACATACAAATGCATATAAAGATGAGGAAAGATTTCATAATAAAAAGTGAGGCATAAACTTTCCTCGTTACAATTAGTATGTTAATTCTTATACCAATTGATGGGTCTCAAAACAGCACCTCCGCCAGTAGAAATGACAAATTTATGCATCAGGGACATCTTACGCAATGCCTCAGTCTGAAATGAAAAATAAGAAAATGAATGGCAAATGTGTGACAGAACCAGAAGAAAACCAGAACAGTTCACAATATCTTAGTGTCAGTATAGTCAAACAGAATAATAGTAATTGGGAGATATTATAGTTACTTCTACGCACATGCCATGATCAGACACTGTGTGATCTACTTTCGTTAACATTATATTACAGAACCTTAACAAGCTTTTGCTGAAGAACCAGAGTTTCAACTTTGGTTAATATCATTACATCAAGAGATTCAGCATGTTGCTTGCGACTAAATAATTGTAGAGATTAGAAATAACATGTCTTTTAGAAGGGAGTCCATGGCATAGCCAATGTCCCTTGTACATAAAGAAGTGCATAGCAACATGTTAGGGCCTGAATTATGAAAGTTTGAAGTGGAAGAAAAATTAGGCCCAAATTAGAGAAGCCTGGCTCTTTTGTGTGGCTCGTCGAGAACGAGTGAAAATAGAAAATTAGTTAGGTAGTTAAGGGGAGAATAGATAGGGAGTTGGAGGAATAATGAGATGGTTTTGAGAAATCACTACAGGTAGAGGCATGGCTCTCAAGTTACCTGTGGGTGTTTATCAGTAACTCTTTTCTGCTTGAGAACATGTTCTAAAAGATTTCAGTGGATAGAGACTTGCTCTTTTCTTTCTATCGCTACCATACCACTCCTAACACAACAATCATAGCATTGTCTGGCTTAAAGACATAAATAATGATTAAATAGTTGACACATACAGGGGTGTAATGATGAACTACAACCAGTAAGTTGGTAACTGTCTCTTAACACCTTTTTCAGAGAAGAGGGTTTGTTTCGCAGAGTAGGCACGGTTACTTTATTTAAATGTTATTTCAAATAGGGTTGGGAATGTAGAGACTAAACCTAGAAGCCAGCATGACAAGCAAGCAAATGCCTCCAGAATTCGACTGTAAATGTAAATTCTATCTTATACCCAGCTGATATGATCATATGAGATTCATGTTCCTCTGTCAAACCCAACAAGTTGCATAGGATAGTCCATCCATAAGATGGATGTACAAACAAGCTCTGATACTAGTTAAAGTAGAGAACAACTACTCACTACTCCCAAAAGCAGGCTGATAAGAGGGGGAGCTTCCACCATATATAAATGTAGGATCAACCAATATAGAGGGCGCACTTTTTCCATGTTTGTTTGCTTTCTCTACAAACTAAATCAATTTAACAATAAAAATCCTAACTGGTTGGGGAAATGTTCTTCTATTTAAACAGAAGATTCTAAATCATGGGACAGAAATTCCACTGACTAGGTAAAAGGAAACACTGAAGCCAGTTATACAAACCACAGGGAAAAAAATTGTTCATTTTGGATTCTCTTTGTTTTTGTGTTTTATGCTATCCTGCCTGTGACACTTCTAAGTACCATTGTCGATTGGTATTACAGCATGCACATCGATCTCCCATCTCCTTGGAGCAACTTATAATATATACAAGCAGAACATCTAAAAGTTCAGAAAAGTTAAGAAAAAATCGAAATGCTAAAGAATATGAAAACTTGAAACCGCCCTTTCCAACTGACCTCCCTATCACGAAAGAAAGATTCTCCGTAGAGCTTGAATATATCAGCTACAGAGTTTCCTTCAACCTCTTCCTCAATCAATGTATCACTATAACATACACATGTGCAAAAAAAACATCAGCAAGACTTATAACATGACCATGAATTAGAGTAACTGTTCTGTAATAGACAGATGTAGATTCCATTAACATACTAACCAATCACAAAAAGAATAGCTAAGCGCTTGCGACATAATCTTCCCCACAGTTGTCTTCCCAGAACCCATCATTCCTGCGTGTCAATTAGTAAGTATTTTGAATGCGAAATTAACCATACTTATAATTCGTACTGTGTAATCACGAGACATCAAACAACAAAACTGACCAACAACATATATACAGCGTCCATTTAAATACGGCTGGATCTGTTGCGATTTATTCTGCAAATTTATTGGTTCAAGTAAGAAAATGGTATAAAGACTACTATTTGTTGATCCCCTTGTTTACTAGAACGGAAGGATATAATATAACATCAACTAAAATGAATTGGCTTTAATTAATTAAAAATGATGAAAGCACGTGCTATTACCTTCAGAATCAACTCTTCCTCAAGGGGATACTTATGGCCTCCTGATTCCAATATCGAAGCTACAATAGTAATAAGAGAAATAAAATATATGCATTTGAAATGGGACAGCACCAATGTCAGTCAGCAACAAATTAGACCTAGTGTGAGCACCATTGATAGAAAGCACACTCAACTCAAAAGTCCAGCTGGTGTGACTTGTGGAACTCTGGTAAACACTTGAATTTAAGCATTTAATCCATACAAGAGCTCTTCATATGACAAAGTTTGACTTCGACATAAAAGCTTAAATTCCATAAGCTACTTGTGTTTGAATATACAACAACAACAACCAAGTCTTATCCCACTAAGTGTGGTCGACTTTATGGATCAACTTGCGTCATAATGTTCTATCCAGGACCATACTTTTATCCAAATCGTTAATCTTGAGATCTTTCTTAATAATTTCTCTTATGGTCTTTCTAAGTTTTCCTCTCCATCTAATTATTTGACTTCTTTCCATCTAATCTACTCTCCTTACCACAGAATCTATAGGTCTTCTCTCTACAATGCCCAAACCATCTAAAGTCTATTTTCCACCATTTTCTCTACTATAGGTGCTACCCCAACACTTTCTCTAATATTTTCATTTTTAATCTTATCATGTATAATCCTACCCCACATCCAACGCAACATCCTTATCTCTGCTACACTAACTTTATTCTCGTATTGATTCATATCCGCCCAACATTCTGTTCCGTACAACATCGCAGGTCTTACCGCAGTCCGATAAATTTCCTTTTAGCTTTACCGGTACCTTTGCGTCACATAGAACCCCTGAAACCCTCCTTCATTTCCGCCACCTAGCTTGAATTCAATGATTTACATTCCCTTCTATTTCTCTATCATTTTGTATTAGTTGGCCAAGCTATTTAAACGTGTGACATGAGGAAAGATATGATTTCCCACTTTCACCTCTAGTTAGAAATGCTTCTTCTTTTATTAAACTTACATTCCATATACTCCGTCTTACTTCTGCTTAAGCGAAAAACACGTGTTTCTAAAACTCATCTCCAACAACATTAGGGTTGGGAGTTTCTTTTCTCTTTTTAGTTGTTTGCCTAGTATATCTTGAGCAGGTCGGTATGAAAGAAGATGAAGAATGAACAAGTATATGTAATACTATGCACCGATTCAGTAGCCCACATTTTCCTATTTCAATTTTTCCAACTCTTTAGATTCTACTTTTCCACATATTCACCTTACCCTCTTTAATGTTTCTACTTTTCCATCTCTTCACCTTACCCACTTTAATGTTTTTAAAAATAATTTATTATAAAAAAATAATAATAAAAATATGGCTTCCGATATTCCATTCATAACCGGTATACCGGAAAATCGCCGATATCACGAGCATCGCGAAATTGAAATGTTATACCGGCTTTCGTATCGGATAGCCAAAATTCCGATACGCAATACTGGTATACCGGATATTTAACAACACTGGCATTCTCAACATATGTTTTTCACTGTTTTCTATCTTAAAGAGCTTATTGGATTAAGCCAAAAACATAGTACTGCAGATAATTAAAGAGCTAATTGAATTAAGCCAAAAAAAGATTACAGCATATAACTAAAGAGCTTATTGAATTAAACCAAAAACAGATTACAGCAGATAATTAAAGAGCTTATTGAATTAAGCCAAAAACAGATTACAGCAGATAATTGAATTTGGAAGGATAGTAAGTTATAAATGAGACAAACAAGTAAAACTTGATTCGACTTGAATGATTTTGGTTTCATGCAACAACCTTGCATCTATCAATTGCTGAAAAGCCAAAATTAAAATAAAATAAAATAAACCCCACTTTCAATAATGACAATAAAGAGTAGAAATAAAAAATAAAACTACACTTTCAAATAACAAAACAAAAAAAGCAATGTGATTTAATAGCAAAACCTGGAATGTTGTTATAAGAACAAGCAATCTTGCGACGACGCATCCGAACCATTTCCGGTTTACCGGTTCGAGTCAAAGATAATCCGGTTCTACCGACAAACTTTTCGGGTCGGGTAAAACCCGAGAAATTAATCGTTTGAAGAGCTTTAGCATCCATTACACCAACACTATAGAATACAAAGTGAAACGAGGAAGATTTTTCCCCAATTAAGAATTCTGAATAAAAGAAAAGAAACCGAAGAAATTGAAAAAACTGACCTGAAGAATGAAGTAGAAAGGGATGAATTCAAGTTGATATGAGAATGTTAGTTAGAGTTGAAAAATGAGTGGAATTCTTTTTATTTTTATTCTTATTTTAATGTTGCTTATGCGCGCACATGAACAAGATCCAGTATTCCAACTTTTAAAGCTAAATTCACCTTTTTCTTTTATTCATAAACCAAGCTTCATTTTTTTAATAAAAGATTCATTGTTTTTTATCCATACAACTTGCTAATATAAAGATAAGTATATTAAATATTAATTTTTAAAATATATTTTTCCTCAATTGATGGTACATTGACGCGTTCACGTTGACGCGGTATCACATGTAACTGTAAAAATAAATTTTATTTTATCTTAAAATTATTTCTACGAGATTAAAAATAATACATTTACATCAAGAAATTATTGCTACGAGATTAAAGATAATGAACTAATAAAACAAAATTATTTTATATCATTATTTAATAAAAATTAATTAATCTATTATATCATCGTAGTTTAAAATATATGTGTGATTAAAAATTTTAAAACATTTTAGTGTATATTTATATTTTTATTAAGAAAAAAAGATAATGTACTGGATCAACCCATTTTGAGTGGTAATTGACTAATAGTATGAAGATTGACAACTTACCAACCGCAGCAAACGTGCTGGATGCAGGATTGGTGGCAGTTGTGGTAGGTGGGATCCAAGTGTTAAACAATTTAATTACTTTTTTTTTTAATTTAAAAATGAACTATTGTGAGTGTAGTCTTATAGTGATGTTGACTTTAGAAATTAATTATATGGAGTAGATTAAAAAATCATATATTCATAATTTTTTTTATTATTATTACGTTATGTTTGAGCTATACATTATTTTTTTTATTACCTAAAGGACGTGAGATATTGAAATTTGATCATTAGATTAAAAATATTTATTAAATTATAATTATTAAATTTATAAAATTAACTATTAAATTTTAATTGAAATATATTGATAAAGTTTTATATGATCAATAAATCATAAATGTTAAATCTTAATAGAAATTTTACTTTTTTTTAAGAGTTTAGAATAGTTTTTTTTTCAATATTCTCTAAAACACTCTTTTTTTATTGGTTAAAATATATTTGAATTCTATTTATTTATGTAGGACTCATTTTTAAAGTGAGAAGCTCACATATTTTAAATAATAAAAAATTAAGTATTTAATAAAATGTTAAAAAGAAAATGTTACTAATACTTCTTCTTTTTAAATCACATATAAAATATTACTCGTGAATAATTTTGATATATTGCCTGTATAAAATATTTTATATTAATCATGCTCTAATTATTATGTTGTCAAATATAAAATATTATACACGGATAATGCGTCATAACCTTTTATAAATAATATTTTAAATATTATTAAAATTAAAATTAAACACTTACAAAGATTTAACATTTACATCAATTAAATTTTAAATTTATATATTCAAAAGTGTAAGTATTAAAATTAAACACTTACAAAGATTGTCAAATATAAATTTATATAAAAAGGTTAAGAACAAAAAGAAATGAGAATATATTTATGAGAAGAAAAGAAATGACGGCCGTAAAGTTGTAAGAAGAAATTAATTGAAATGAAAGCTACTATTGATATATTTATACATAAAGTAAATTATCGTGTAGGCTCTAACTAAAGGTAAATTTAAAGACTAAGTTAACTAGATAGTTAAGCTAACAAAACAATTGGAACCCTAGAAGTTAAACATACTTCTGGGCGTAACCTTAGAAGCTTCTGCTTCGGACTAACAATCTCAGAAGCTCTACTGCTTCTGAGCAACACTACTTCTGACTCTAACAAGTTCTGAATATGAATAATTCCAATACCACTCCTTAATTCATATTCAGCTAACCAAAATCTACAATACAAATTTCATCTCTCAAACGAATAAAGTGTTCAGTCTTGACAGCTTCACAGATTGACAACGCAACCATCGGTTGCTTCTTGGAGCACCAAGAATTTAGACTTTACAAATACTTGAAAACATATCTAGAAGTACTTCTTCTATCAACCATATCACCACAGAATCAAAGTCTGAATAGTATATCACCTCTACATCAGTCTTCAGATTAGAAGGGAATAACACTCCATACATCAGAGTCTCTTAAGTATCTTGCAGCTTGTCAAACTCTACAAATGTCCTTATTATTTATCTGATTCTTTGTGGCCTCTGGACTTGTTCTGAATCTCTTTCTGATTCTGAAACAATATCTCCTTCTGAACTTTCTTCAGAAGTTCGACTACCACCAGAAGCTACACATTTGTTAACTTTTGGACCTCGTCCAGAACCTCTACCTTCAGAAATACCACCTTCAAAAGTTGAATCGCCTTCAGAAGCTCAGCCTTCAGAAGTTTCACCTTCAGAAACATGACCATCTTTAGAGGCTGGACTACCTTTAGAAGCTCCTCCTTCATAAGGTCCACCTCCAGAGTCATGATTACCACCAGAAACATGATCATCTCCAAAAGCTTATCCTCTAAAAACTACATCTTCAGAGTTTTCCCTTCCAGAAACATGACCACCACCAAATTCTGGATCATCGTTAAAATCTAGATTAGAATCAGATTCATCATCTGACTCATCTTCATAATCTCCAGAAGATTCTTCATCTTCTGACTCAGACTCGCCTTCAGAACTTTCAAGTTATGATTCATCTTTAGAAGTAGAATCTCCTTCATATTCTGACTCATCTTCTAATTCTCCTTCAGACTCAGAACCACCTTCGGATTCTGAATTGTCTTCAGCTTCAGAGTCATCTTCTAACTCTGAATCATCTCCAGAAACCTCAGATTCTGACTCATCTTCAGAATCTTCAAATTCATCTTCTGATTCTGACTTATATTCAAACACTCTTTCAGAATATTCATAGTCATCTTCTTCCCCTTCATAATTAGAAAATGACAATCGCACAGGTTCCTCATCAAATTCATAAGTCATTAATAGCACAGGGTCATCATTTGAATCACCTCTGGCTATTTTTGCTTCTTCTTCTTCTTTGTTTGACCAACAATATTTAGCAAAGTGGTCAAACCTATTATAACAGTAACAATGAACCATTCTCCTGTCATACTTTTCCTTTTCTTTCTGATGTTTCTTCTCATTAGAATAGAAGACTTCTGACTTCTGAGACCTATCATGTTTTTTCTACTTTTGGTCTTTCTTGATAAAAGAAGCCTTCAGATCCTGCTTAACTTCTCTTTCAGAAGTTCTTTCAATCAGACGCAACTCTTGCGCGTCTAGACTACTTTACAGCTCTTTTATTCTCATGGTGTCCAGATCTTTAGAATGTTCAATTTCTACAATAATATAATCAAATTGAGGGGTAAGAAATGTTTTCTCCACAAGCTTTTATCTCATTAGTGATCAGAATCACTCTAGAGATGTACTCATATACCTTCTCGTTGTCCTTCATATTGAGATTCTCATACTACTTTCGAAGAGACTGAAACTTCACCTTCTTCACTAATGCGTCACCACCGTAACATCTAACCAGTGTGTCCTATGCAGCCTTCACCGTTGTCGAATCAACGATTTTCTCAAACATGTTCATATCCACACATTGATGAATGTAGAACAACACCTTCTGATCATTCTTCCTTTTGTCTCTCTTCGCGGTTCTCAGTTCTTTTGTAGCATCTGCTGCAATAGGAACATAACCTTCGGTAACAAGCTCAAGAACATCTTGAGCACCAAATAACATGCACATCTGAATCATATCAATCTATTCTAGTTCTTGCCATCAAAAATTGGAAGTTTGGTGCTAAGATTCATGTTTACGTTCATCTTCAACCTTGTACAAAACTCTCAAATCTCACTAAACACAATGTTTCTCAATTCCGTATAATCAAAAAAATGTGATTATGTTCCGATTTTGTTCAAGATTCAAACACGAATTCAAGAACCAAAATCAATCACACAACGTCTCACTGTTCACTCGTGTTTCCCGTATTTCCCTGTGAATCCAAACCGGAGCTCTAGATACCAATTGTTAGTGCACGAGGTTAAGAGAGAGAAAAGGAATGAAAATATATTTATGAGAACAAAAGGAATGACGGTTGTAAAGCTGTAAGAAGGAATTAATTGGAATGACAACTACTACTAGTCTATTTGTATATAAAATAAACTTTCACGTAGGCCCTAACTAAAGGTAAACTTAAAGACTAAATTAACTTAATAGTTAAGCTAACAAAACAATTGGAACCTCAGAAGCTAAACATACTTCTAGGTATAACCTCATAAATTTCTGCTTCTGACCAACAACCTCAGAAGCTCTACTGCTTCTGCGCAACATTGCTTCTGACTCTAACAACTTCTGAATATAAATTACTTCCAACAAAGAATACTTGGACGGAATGATGTGGAATCTCTTTTAATTTAACTAGAGATTTTGACTATTGAGTTCAAATTTAACCTTACACATATAACAGTGTTAATTTTTTATTTTGTCACTCATTATAGTCTTATCTGATTCGAATGATTAATCTCTATAATTGTACATAAAGAAAATATCTGATTTCTAAATAAAAAAAGATTATATTAATATTTGATTTAAAAATTTATTTCAAAATAATGACTAATATATTGACTTTTTAAATTTAATATTTTGTCTTTGTGATTTTTATTTTAATTGAAGTGGATATATCAACTTAATATTCTTTAGTCAAGTAGATTAACCTTTTCACCATCATCATCCTTTCTAGTTATAAATCAAATTTATGAAAATAATAATATTTATTTAATAATGTAGAATTGATTATGTTGCTTCTAAAGAGAGAAGAGAGAATTATGGAGAGATGCTCTTGAGAAATTATTATTTTGTCCATGTGTATTTGTGTGGTTATGTTCACTCATTAGTTTTTCACGAGGGTTTGAACTTTGGACTTTATGTTTAAGACAAGGATTCCATTATATAATGGAATATCAAATTGAGGGCTATAAGAAAGAGGACTAAATCTAAAAATGAAATAATTTTGCAATTTGAATTTCTTCTTCTTTCTCTCCTCTAATTTGTATTTTTTTTCTTTCTGTATCTTCATTCATGAATACGTTTTCAGTTGATAATTTTACTTTGTTCTAAATTCTCAGTTGAAAATTTTACTCTATTTCATCTAATTTTGTTGTTGTTTTTTATTATGAGAGATGGGTTTACAAGGTTCATCATTGAATAGAATTGGTGGTGGATT